GTCTCTGAATATATTTATATATTAAATCTGCACTAGTGAAAATTTGAAAAAAAAGTTAAAAGTTGAAAGATGTGCTGACCCTCTATAGGCTTGAAGTGCGTTTTTCCAAGTACTTAGGACTAAAAAAACATAAAATTGTTTAATTGTAATATTTAATAGTGACTTACAACTAGTCTAAGATGAACTTTATCTGAGATCATAGGCCCTGCTTGAAATTTGTTCTGCTCATGTTGTTGTTTGTGTTGCACACTGAACACCATGAGTTTGTGTAGTAAAATAAAGTAGCCTGAAAAATCTAATGACACAGAAAAACTACAAAGTAGAAAGTACAACTTGTCCTACTGTTTGGTCCAGTCTTTATGGTATTTGACTATTTCAAAAAATAAACTTAACCTGATATGAACCGTAAACACCCAACCCCTGACCTTACTACCCAAACCTAATCAGTTACTCTGATCCCTAAATTTAAACCTAAACCTAAAAACTAATCTGACATGAATAAATGACACAGAGCGATCCTGACAACATACGAGGAATGGGGAATGAGAACGTGTTGAACAGCAGTATGGTTTCATGCGATCTTTGTTTTGACAATGTTGATGCAGAAGTACAGAGAGGGCCAGAAAGAACTTGTTGGTGTCTTTGTTGATTTAGAAAAATATGTGACAGGATGCTGGAAATGCAGACAAATATGCTAAACTGGTACAGAATATGTGGACAGCAGGACATCGGTGAGATGTACTGTAGGAGTGACAGAAAGCTTCAAGGTGGAGGTGAGCCTGCATCAGAGATCTGCTCTGAGCCTCTTCTTTGCTCTGATGGACAGACTAACAGATGATGTCAGGCAGGAATCCCTGAGGAATATGATGTGATCTGTGGTGAGAACAGGGAACAGGTGGAAGAGAACTTGGAGAGGTGGAGGTCTGCACGGTAGAGTATATGGGATTAAGATGCGGCATAAATGATCATAATTCCTCTCACAGCTCATAGATAAGCATATTAACATAATTTACTGCATGTAAGCATATTAACAAATTATAACATTTGATTTCAAGTTGACTTGAATAGAATTGTTATTTTTGCTGTATATCACTATTAATAAACTAAATTAACTAAACATCTGCTCGAATTCAGGAAAATCAGAAATGGTCTCCGTGCCTTTAGGCGAAACAGAGATGATGGCCATGAAATAGGGAAGAGGACAAGGAAGGTGTACTGTTTCATGATTCACAGGAATTAGTGGTGAAAGGTTGTGAAAATGACACCAGAGCCCAAGCTGTGCGTGAAATTATGAACAGTGGGATTAATGGGAGCTGTAAAAAGAGCATTAGAGCCCCTTTTCCACCCCAAACCACTTCAAAGAGACATGTCTGTGTTGGACTACACTGCTGTGTGTGTGTGTGTGTGTGTGTGTGTGTGTGTGTGTGTGTGTGTGTGTGTGTG